TTAGAATCGTATTATCAAGAATTTTCAAAATCTCAGTTTTTAAAATATTATATTATTGTATTGACGAAAAATAATTAATTTAATATTTTATATTAACTTTAAGTAATATCAATTAACAATATTATTAATATATATTTTAAATATAGAGAAATTTTAAAAATGTCACTTTTCAAAGATGCCATTTGAAAAAAAATCTTTTCAAAAATACCACGTTTTTAAAATTATTTATTCATTATATCATTAATGTTTGGGTTAAATATGTTGTATTAGAGTTTAGTTTTGTGGGTTCAGGGGGTTTTAGGGGTCAAAACATTTTTTTGGGTTTAAAATTTTAAGATTTAGACTCTTAATTCATAATTAGTGGCATTTTTGCAAATAGACAACTCATAATGACATTTTTGTAAGAGAAATATTTAAAAATTCTACTTTTTAAGTGCCACTTTGCAAAAATGCCTCACTTTTGAAATCTTTACAAAAATGTCACTTTTTCAAAATTATTTTTTCTTTATATTATTTATGTTTGGGTTAATTATGTTCTATTAGAGTTTAGTTATGAGGATTTAGGGGGTTTTAGGGGTCAAAACATTTTCTAGGGTTTATGATTTTAATCTATAATTAATGGCATTTTTGCAAATGAGCATCCCTAAGTGGCATTCTTACAAATGTGCACACAAAAAGTGGCATTTTTGTAATTGCCCCTTTTTGTAATGTATACACCAAAAGTAGCATTTTTGCAATTATCCAACTTAAATATATGCATAGTGGAGTTTGAAATATCATAATTTTATTTTATGATATAAAAAATAACAACATATAAACTATTTAATTAATATTTTAATTTATGAAAATATGATTTATCAAAAAAGTGAACTTTACATAAAGATGTCAATGTTTTGATGAAAGCAAAGTTTTTTATAGGTATCTCATTTGACAAGAGCGAGAGAAAATTTCAATGAAAAACTTTGTTTATAATGTTTTTGATTTATTTTAAAGACTCTTCCATTAGAGATGTTCTAATATATGATCAATAAATTAGTCTTGGAAATAATCATTCCTAAAAGGAGCCAAAAATTGAATTTTTTTAATTCATATCATTGTTTTTCTACTAAAAATACAGTTAAAATTAAATTCTCTCACAAAACATATTTGTTATGTGAATTAAAAAAAACTAATAATATATGCAAGTTCGATTGGTTATATTAGTTCATTTTGAAGATATTTTTATGAATTTCGTTAGATATTAAAATTTAAAATACGAACAATCAAAAAAGAACCAACTGACCGATTAATAAAAATATAATAAAGTACATGAACAATGTAGTAGTTTTAGTAATTTTTTGGTTAGTTCAATTATTTTGATTCGGTTTTGTATAATTCGAGTTTGGTTCGAATAATATCATATTTAAATCTATTTACATATTTAAATTATTATGTAATTAAGTTCGAGTTTAGATTGGTGAATTCTGATTTGATTTGTTTTGGTTCATGTACTTTCTTTATCATTTGGTGAAACACATTTATATAAAAAAATGATCGCAAGTTCGAATAACTCATGCATACCTACAATTGATTTTTATAACTAAAATAATACTAATTTACAATGTATATTTTAGCAAAAATAAACGATTTCCACTTGTCCCGACATGTATTCGACTGAGCTAGTAGACAAGAAATTTATGAGGTGAATCTGATGATTCAACCTGGAGACAGTGAGACGCGCCGCATTCCACACGAATTATGGTGGTTCATTTATTTTGTAACATAAAGAAGAAAATTTGAGGAAAAGCAAAGTAGATGATGGAAATCACTCAGTATACAATTTTTTTAAAAGTGAACCTAGATTCCTCATTGTTTTAACAGTCATCACCGCAATCCATGAAAATTTATGCGAGAATTAAGGAAATCTGAAAGCAACTTATTTTCTCAATCAAATTAAGGAACCGAATCTGATTTTTGCAGAAAGCTAACATCAATTCCATCATTTTCTCGAGAAAAGAGTCGAACATAGAATTATCGCAAGAGAAAATTGAAGAAAGAAAGAAAAATTTGACAATATTCTCAAAAAGGTAATTTGAGGAAAGCCAAATGGAAATCATCCATAAAAGAACAAATTTGATAAACTTTGATCGTTATTTCTACACTTTCTCAAACAAAAAAATTATAGAGGAAAAATGAAGTAAAGCAGAAATGGTCTTAAAGAAAGAAAATTGATGAAGTTTAGAAAGCAATAATAATTGATTAATTTACAAAAAGGAACTTCGCGTATACTAGTTTATTTTGCTTTCTTAACTGCAACGATTTTCTTTGTTTAAGTCGCTTTTCGTTTTACTTGATTTGTTCTATGTTATATTTTTTCCTCGAGAAAGTGTGAAATCATTTATTAAAGTTACTAAAATTTGTTCGTTTACGGACGATTTTCGTTCGATTTTTCTCAAATTTACTTTTGGGAAAGTATTGTCAGTTTTATTTTTTTCGACAATTTTCTATTTTGACAATTCTACGTTCGACTCCTTTCTCGAAAAAATGACCGAGTTGATTATAGATTTCTACAAATATTAAATTTTGTTTCCTTAATTCGATTGAGAAAATAAGTTGTTTTCAAATTTCTTTAATTTTTTCGCCTAAACTTTCTTGGATTACGAGGATGGCTGTTAAAACAATGATGAATCTAGGTTCATTGTTAGAAAAGTTGTAAACATGATGATTTCATCATCAACATTGTTTTTCATCAGATTTGCTTTTTATACGTTACA